TGATTAACCCAGAGGCTTCAAAGTCTGGGAGCAGAACGTGTAGTTGTGTGAAGCAGTACCAGTGGCATATTATACACTAGCATATTCTTCACTTCTGCACACATGAAATAATGGTTGCACTATTAAAGTCAAGGACTTTTAATTCCTCCTCAAGGTCTGTAACCGATACTCTGAGTCATGTCCTTTGGGCTGTTTCGAGGATACTAAAACTCCTACCAGGTGGGAGAAGTTAACTGTATGCTGCCCACAAAACACATAGACCTCAAACTTTTGGAACCAGAAGGTTGATGTCAACTCCTGATTACCTCACCACCAACCAATCAGGCTAAGATCACCGCCTGTCTGCACCAGGGTGGTTTGACCTGCTTCTGACCCAGATGCCCGAGGACCACACGGGGGCAAAAAAGAGGTGGCACCAGGAAGAACCCTGCCTCTTTTCAGAAAAGCAATGCATATGCCTCCCCCTCATTAAACTTTCCCTAAAATTTTGCCTCAATCATCCCCTATGTAAGAAGTTGATTTATGAACTAAGTTCCCTTGTCTCCATCCTCTGGCCATTGAATAAGGCTTCAATCTCAGCTGTGAACTCATTTTTGGCTGCATGAACCCCAATGGAAAAAGAACTTTCCTCACTGAGGCAGGGGCCTCTGCTGGGCTACAGCCCAAGTGGGATCCTTATGACCTAATTCGGTAACAAATGGATGTTAGCTATGACGATAACAACTAACTACTGTTGTAGTCCAAACCTTTGTGATTGTGTCATGCCTTTGGCCCATGCTAGGCTTTTTCACATGATCTGCCTTCAAGTCTCACCTGCCTGTTTTATGTTTATGCAGCTGGTCATTCTGAACTTCAGTATAACTCGTTATACACTTATGTCTTTTCAATTTCATGGAGCTATTTTCAGACTCAACTATCTGTTCTTTTCAGTCCAAAATTTGTGATTAAAGTTTTGTGTCACCTGCACTGAAAACTAGTTTAGCCCTTTGCTTTATTAATGTATAATATTCGTGGCAATTGTCTAAAAAAATCTTTGTTGACTGAAGGCCTGTCTTGAAGAATTTATATTATAAAATACTTTATTGGATTCTCTCATCTCTAGAAGTGGCTGGGGCAAGAATGAGGATGGAAATGGGGAGGTGACGAGAAGGAACCTGGGAGGTAGAAATTAATGATGGTGAGGAAAAAACTATCAAAAAGGAAACTCCCTGGTAGTCTAGTGATTAAGATGTCACACTTCCACTGCAGGGGTGCATGGGTTCAATCCCTGGTCAAGGAGCTAAGATTCTATGTGTCACACAACACGGCCAAAAAATAGGAGGAAAAAAAAAAAAGGAAGCTTCCTGAACGTTTTGAAAAACAGAGCTTATGATTTGGAAGCCCAGAAATGGCTTCATCCATTAACTCCATAAATATTTTTCAGGACCTTCAATATGCAAGGCAATGTGTTTGAAGAAATAGGGATACACACATATATAAAATAATCCCTGCTTTCAGAGAGATTAGTGCAGGAGGTAAGATATTTTAAATACATAGCTATAATACAATATGACATGTCTGTGTGAGATAGATACAAGCTAAATGCCTTTAGAATGCCATGGGCAGGACTGGTCACTTCCGCTCCCCTTGTGATTGTATTACTGGCCCAATTCTTTTAACGATTCATTTATTTGGGTGCGCTGGGTCTTACTTGTGGCACACAGGATCTTTTAGTTGAGGCAAGCAAACTCTTATTTGCAGCATGTGAGATCTAGTTCCCTGACCAGGGATTTTATCTGGGTCCCCTGCATTGGGAGTACCAGGGAAGACCCTTGAGTAAGACAATTCCTTCTCTCTCTTTACATGAAAGCTTTTTGTCATATAATTCTGTATTTCTCTCCCACTGTTAGTGGGTGCACTTACCTATCTCTTGACCTTGGGCTTGTCCGTATAAGTCATACGAAAAATATGAAGCAGAAAGTAAGTTATGACCTATTCCAAATTTAGGCCTTGAGTGACCTGTTTCTGCTTAGGTCTCTATCCTGACTGTAAGAACATGCCTAATACTAGTTGCAGACAAAATAAACAGCAGACTATCAGTTTCACAATTTCCTAAGATCTAATTCCTATAGTAAATCTCTATCATTCAGAATGGTTCTACTTTCTTATCAAACTCTAACACAGAAACTGGGTAGCTGGAAGTAAGGAGCTGCCATAAAAACCTAAAACATGTGGCACTGGTTTGGGAAACAACTGGCAGGACCTTGAGTAGGTTTTCACAAAAACCTAAAGGGCCTGGATTAGGGTGTTAACAGAAGCCTAGAGAGGAGGCTGAAAAGGAGGAATTACAAGGAATAAAGGAAAATGTTACTGGAACCTGGAAGAGACCCTAACTGTGTAGTGAAAGTCGCTCAGTCATGTCCAACTCTTTGTGACCCCATGGACTATATATAGTCCATGGAATTCTCTACGCCAGAATACTGGAGCGGGTAGCCTTTCCCTTCTCCAGGGGATCTTCCCAACCCAGGGATCGAACCCTAGTCTCCTGCATTGCAGGCGGATTCTTTACCAGCTGAGCCACAAGGGAAGATTGTGTAGTAGAGTTTAGTAAAACTGCCACCTGCGGTAAAATGAAAAAAAATATATATACCTAATAAACCTGATCTAGTTATTTCAGATCAATGCTGAGGATGCCACCTGGATTTTTCTAGCTGTGTAAGTAAAATGAGAGAGGAGAAACCTTACATAAGGAAAAATGTGATTTGGAGAAAACATAAAGGCTCAGAAGAGTCTTTTAAGCCAGGAAAGGATTCTCATGTACAGAAATAGCTTCCAGGCAAAGGTCAAATTCAGAGAAGGGCACTAAGACTTGGTTTCAGATCTGAGAAAGATGACTGTGCCTCAGAACACTTCAGACACAAATGGCCTTCTACAAGTTTGAAGACCCTGCCCAAGGCTTCCAAGAATTTTAGGGAGGTTGTTCATCAGCCTCACAGGGAGCCAACATAGAAGAGACTATTTCTCCCATCCAAGTACTAACCAGGCCCGACCCCGCTTAGCTTCCGAGATGAGATGAGATCCGGCGTGCTCAGGGTGGTGTGGCCGTAGACAGAAGAGACTATTTCTAACAGACTTACAGGGACTTCTGTGTAACTGAATGGACCCAAGAACTCCACAGGTTTAAAAAACTCTCTCAGCTTGGATAGGTATAATATAAACAGAGATCTTGGAATCCCGAATTCCTACGGGAAAGAGGCAGGTTGAGAGCAATACTCCATGGGCAATCATGTGCTACCTTTGTGGGAAAGGATGACTCAGAGCCCCAGGGGTTATGCCTCAATCCGAGTCAAACCGACACAAGACTGGCTGGGTTTAAGTGCCAAAGATAGGTGACTGTGGTGTCTTTCTCATTCCCCCTTTAAAAAGGAAAGTCTAAAGCAGAGAGTTTGGGACAAACAGGGAAGATTACTTCTAAATTCATAGGTATTCAGACTGAGAGGAATGATACTTTAGGACCTTTACCTCAGCCACACCCGGACCTGACTAGACGATGAGCTCCTAGACCCTGAGCTGTCACAATGGAGTTCCGGAAAAATTTTGCATGTGAGAATGGTATGAATTATTGCGGTCAAATGGGGCGCTGAAAAGAGCTCAGCATCTTCCATCCCGTTTCCTTTTTTTAAAAAACGTGGCTAGTTGCGGAGTTTATGTTCCCGCTTGAGGCAGGACTTCTGAGGCAAGGTCAGAAAAAAAGGCAAGTTTCTGAAATGCTCGCTGCACTCACACTAGAGCCCTAATGATCAAGTAAACAGTCTAATGGCTTGAGCACAACATGCTGTGAGGAGCCCCATTCACCCAGAGACACAGCAAGGTCCCGACGCTAAGGGAAGCCTGGCCAGGCCGCAGGCTAGCTGCCGGCTGTTTCCATTTCATCCAGCACCTGACTGCAAACCTCAGAGACCCAAAGCCAATTACTCAGCGGAATCCTTCCTTAAATTCCGACACAGAAACACTGAGACAATGAAGTGTTGCTGTTTCAGGCCACAAAGTTTGGGGATGATTTGCAGCAGTAACTAACTGAAATACTGTTTCTGGTGGAAATGTAATACAATTAAGTATAATTTAGATGAGACCACACTTTCACTTTCCACTCACCTGAACCAGAAACAAGTATTAGGTCAATAATGAAGAAAATAAGAGTATACTAAATTTTTATTCCCCTGGAATTCGCAAATTTTTCAAACACTTGCTTTTTTAGGGCACTGGGCTATTCACTGTATGTTGCTTTGAGTCACATTCTTTGTATCATAATTAAATATTCAGATAGATGACTTTATTTCCTATCCCTACAAAACTCTTACTTATGATTGTACTTAAGAAGAGGGCAACCCACTCCAGTATTCTTGCCTGGAGAATCCCATGGACAGAGGAGCCTGGCGGGCTACAGTCCATAGGATTGCAGAGTCAGACATGACTGAAGCAATTTAACACACAGGCAGACTAGAAAAAATAAGACCATAAAATCAATGAAGATACACGTTCCTTTATATTTTATTTACCATAAACACTAAGAGAATACAGCAAACACTGGAGAAAGGCGTTTAAATAATTTTGATTTAAAGTTTAACACTTAAAATTATGCTTGCTCCCCCCCACCCCAATTCAACATGCAGGTATCATTTATTTCCAGATGCAGTGATTGTAGAGCATTACATTCTCTTGAAAGTTTTATAACAGAGTATCCTTGCCCTGTAACTTAAAACAATTTCACAAACTATGTATAATCATGGTATAATACCATCATTCAAAGAGTTCCCCAAGTGACTACATTCACACAATATTAATATTAAAGTCTGAGTTTTTAAAACATCATCTTAATAAGTCAAACCACAAAAACCCAGGTTCTAGTTTTAAATGAGTTTATGAAGACTGCTGCTGAGCTCAAAGCATGCAGATGTTCATGACCACCTAGATGAAGCTGGATACTGAAACTCCTTCAGTAGGTCCAATGATGCAATTTTTCACTCATCCCAAGTATCTCCATATTTGTTTACTTTGACTAGGAAAAAAGCACAAATAATTGATGATTCCAAATAGTAATAAGTGAAAGGAACTATTTTATGTTTGCTATTATGACTTAAATTATGTTTCTCATTTGAATAAATGCACATGAGAGTCAAATTATAATTATAAAAAGGGGCTGGTTAGACTTTTGTGAACTGGAGGTTGGACATAAATATGGCATCAAGACCTTTACATATGTATTTGATGTCTAAAACAACCTGATAAAGTACATATAATCCCCATTCGAAGGAAAACAGATTAGTAACTTGCCCAAGGTACAAACCTAATAAAATAGGTAGAACTGAAATGTGAACACAGGTCTATTTAGGTCCAAAGCCTGGGTACCTTTACAACTTTACCATCTAAAGTAAGCATAGTATATACATTGCAGGATGTACAATAGTTACCAGTAAAAGAAAAATAAAACAATAATGAACATTTGAATGCCGTTTTTCACAGAAATCTCAGATTTGATTAATTTAATCTCTCTCAGGAGATTAATACTAGTACAAGGAGGAAATGCTTTCCAATATTTTTGCATTTTATGCGAAATTATATTTTGAAACATGTTCTTTATCTTCTCTACTCTTACTTTTTAGCCTCTTCTACACAGCCATCATCTGTGAATTATAACTCTTCAGAAGACCCAAGTATTCATTAACAATGTAAAGAAGCAGTTATATAAGGGGATTCCCTTCCCCAAGACTTTTTCAGTGAAGTCTTCAAAGTCAAAATTATTTCATTACTATACTAGGACATTGCTTTGCTTTTCCCCCTTGCTCTTCTTTCCTTATGTGTAGAAGGCAGTTTTCACCGAGCTACATGATGTGTGGGGACATCACTGCTGATAGTTAACTGAAAATATGCTTAGATGTTTAAAATTTCTGCCATAATTTCTAACTAGCTAAAGTAACAACGAATATAATCCACATAAACAAAAGCTGAGAATTTTTAAATGACACTTTCTGACCTAGTGAATCTACACTGTACTGTTAAATTTCGGTCTAGGTTCTACAATAGAAATCACAAACTGTTTAGTAACTTTTTTCTTTAAATTACATAAAGCGCAAAAAAAAAAAAGCTTTCTTTTTTACAAAGAAAAACAGTTCACATCACTGTATCATGAAACAGAACTTCAAAACTATTCACAGCCAAAAGCACAAATGTCCAAATCCAGCAAATATCACTCATCTACCCTGGTATCTTTTCTTAGTTTTTAGTACTAGAAGGCCCAACCAAAACACAACATTTCTGACATATCAAATGATGGCACTATGCTATGCAGACATACAGTAGAGCAGATTACAAAAATGAGAAGAATACTACCGCCTGCCCTCATGGAGCTTACAGTCTAAATTCTCAAATTAGTTAGAAGATCAGCGTACCAGTGAATCTTCACATATCACAGAGTAATAACTACTAAATACATAAGGCTTATGTTAAAAATTTTTATGACAAACATTAACAAGTATTGCTGATTACAAATCTATTTTAAAGCTGTAAAGAACATCAATAATATGACAGAGGTGGATCACTGTTATAAAATAGAATTCTAAATGAAACAATTACTACCAATTAGAAATAAAACTAGCTCTAAAGGATGATCATAATAAAAAATACTAATGATTTTTTAAGTATTTTTGCATTCTCTATGGAGTATTCTCAAGAGAGTACAAAGGACTTTTTTTGTTCCTTCAATTTTTAAAGTAGTAAATAGAAAACCTTGAAATGATGATACATCCTCTAAAATTCCTCAAGAAAGATATTACAAAATTTTATACTGAAACAGCTACAAAGCCCTATTCAAAATGCCTTCTTGTTACTGGCAAATCTTTGGAGTCAGAAAATCTACTCTGGGTTATGCGCAGCTGCTCCAAAAAGTCTTAAATCATGATTTAAAAAAATCTGTATGTACTTTCCGGCGGTGACGACCTCCTCACAATAACATGCCTCTAGCAGAGGATCTTCCTCATCCCTCTCCAGAAGAGAAGAGGAAACACAAGAAAAAGTGCCTGGTGAGAGCCCCAATTCCTATTTCATGGATGTAAAATGCCCAGGATGCTATAAAATCACCACCGTCTTTAGCCACGCACAAACAGTAGTGTTGGCTGCCCTACTGTCCTCTGCCAGCCTACAGGGGGAAAAGCAAGGCTTACAGAAGGATGCTCCATCTTACAGACGGAAGCAGCACTAAAATCTCCCTGTATCAAGATGAATGGGGGCTGATTCATGTCAATGTATGGCAAAAACCACTACAATATTGTAAAGTAATTAGCCTCCAACTAATAAAAATAAATGGGGGGAAAAAAAGATGAATGGGAATCCATCCCAATAAACAAATTTCGGATATAAAAAAAAAAATAATTAATTATAGAGTGAAGTACTGTTAAGGGGCTTCCCTGGCAGCTCAATGGTAAAGAATTCACCTGCTAATTTAAGAGATATGGGTTCAGTTCCTGGGTCAGGAAGATCCACTGGAGGAGGAAATGGCAACGCACTCCAGTGTTGTCCCTGGGAGCTACAGTCCATGGGGTTGCAAAGAGTCAAACACAACTGAGCAACTACGCACAAAGCAGGGGTGAAAGTCAAACTCCCTCTTTGGAAACGCCCTAAAAGCTAGCTTGCAAGCATGTAACTCTTTCAACGTCACAGACATACAAGACCATCATTTTATTACTCAATCAGGATTCTGTGATTCTGCCAAAAGTGGCATTATCAATCTAATCTGGTTTTATGCAATAGATACATCATTTTAAAGAATGGTATCAATTCCCAAAGTGGCTTCTCATAAGGGAAAACAATCAAATGTTTGCATAATTTCTACATTAAAAATTTAGTCTTACTGTTTTAAGTTACACTATTCGGACTTCATTATTTTCTAATGTAAAATGGCTTTTGGAACACTTTAAAAAAGCAAGAACTGATAACTATTGAGTAGTTACCGTCTTAAAAAAATGTTATTTTGGTTAATTGCTTGAGGCATTAAATCACACGTTAGTATAATTAAACTAGTGCTGCAGTTTCCAATCCTAAAGAGTAAAGTGATTCAGACTAGACTATCATACCTTCTTTTTTTGGCATTCTTTCCTGCATAGGCCTGACTGAGGGGTCAGTCTTATGTGTTAAAGTAACTTCATATGACTCTCTGTTCTTATTCCTTAATTCCTCATATGTAATATTTTTTCTTTTAGGACTTTCTTCAATGTTGGGATCAGGTCCTAAAACAACAAACAGTTAATAAATGGTGATAAAAGGATTTTAATAAATCCAAAGCAACTAAAGTTTACAAATGCTCCTTACCTACCAAAAAGTAAAGTGAAGGATCAAATTATTACCAGCATTCCAAAGGTTCTGTATTTTCCCCAAGGTAATTATAAAATCAAAACCTACTTCCTCTTACACTTTCAAACTTTTATTTCTAAAGTTAAAAATATATATTTTTAAACTACCCATGGCCAGAAGAATGGATACAATATATACCAGCACAATTCACTCATTAAACTGCCAGTGGTGCTCTAAACTGGGAGGTTATTCATACAGTTTATATAATTAAAGAGAAATATATTCTACTAGCGACAATTGAACAAAACTAGACATGGTGTAGATTTAGTAGTATTTCCATAGTTAAATGTTACTGTATCCAGTCTATATATATACAAACAACTCCAGCAATTTAAAAAATTTATCTTTTCTTGTATTTCAATAATATTTGAAAATAGCTATTGAAAGGTATAAAACATAAGTCTTTAATCACAGGAAGCATCATTTTGATTCAGGTCTAATGGATATAATACTGAGGCAGAAAAAAGTAGCAACTTTTACCTGGGGAACCAGCATTTATTCTCTCTCTCTCTCTCTCCCAAAGAAAGTCAAAGTATGAAAACATTTTATCAAAGAGTCAAATACTGATATAAAAATAAGGAAATGGTTAGGTAACAGGACTAAATATTGAGTATAGTTTATAAAATATACAGTCAGCAAGCAAAGCCAGATAATATTTTTTAAAAATTAATTAATGTTAACATAACATTCAGTGAACTACTTAACTTATAAAAATCCAATAAACCACTCCCAAAATAATATTTTTCAGAGGTTTTTAATGAGACACAGAAATTAGGTATATCATTTTAATAATATAACCATATGAATTAAAATAATTGTTTTAAAGCAGTTTTTATAAATGGTACTATTTTGAAAGTCAATAGTAAGGTCCCAGTGAATACTCACATTTTTCAAAGCAACATAACATTTCATTGACTATATTCAACTACAATCTTTTACCATAAAGTATACTTGCACTGATACAAAGCAGAGGATTTAAATTTCTAATTAGTTCTAATATTATATACCATGGACAAAAACCAAATTTTTCTTGCTTAAAGAAAAATATTAAAACTGTATAGTGCATTTAAAAGCACCTTGCATTTCATTAGTAATAAGTTACTGAATTCATTTGACTTCACCATAAATGATATTTTTTAAATTCTGAAGGAGACAACTTATACTAGATGAGTAGTTAGGAACCCTAGATTCTCATTCCCACTCTGACAACATTTAATGAATGTCCTTGGGCAAATCACTAAGCTTCTTTGAGTCTTGGTTTTCTCAATTGTGAAACATGGAAGTTTGAACTAGATGATCTTCACTAAAGTTCCTTCCAGGTCTAATACATTTTCTTATCAAAAAGAAGAACATTTCATTGTTCTGAAATTCTGCAATGAATAATGAAAACATGAATCAGACAGAAAATTAGGGGTAATTTTTTTCACTTGTAAAAGCCAAATGAAAATATTCTGCATTGTGTAGGGAGCAAGACTTACAGTAAAGAGCTGGAAGGAACAGGAAAATGTAAAAAAAGCACTGATTTAAATCTAACTGTAATAAACTACAGTAAGTCTCTTAACAACTATGAAAGAATGCTTCCTACTCTGAGAGATTAATAACTTTCAATTCCTGGTAAGAGAAAGCAGAGGACAAAAAGGACTTAAACAAAAGGGGAGGATGTCCTGGTAAGGGAGGACTGCAGGAAAGCAAAGGCGGCCACTGTGGGCTCACGTGGGGAACTAAAGTGGCAACCTTGACTTGGGGGCGGGGGTGAGACAGCAGAGCAAGGATGGATGGATCGCTACGGGGGGGACTTAAAACACATCAAAGTTTGGTCCCTGCTGTAGTCTGTGGGCAGATACCAAAGGGCGTTTTGTCTGTTTTCACTGGCAAAGAAATTATGTAACATGGAATGAAATTTTCTAATGCAAATGCAAGGAAGGATGCAAGACCTAGCAAGGGAAGACTTGGTGCATGGCTAGAACAGAAGTAGAATAGATTTGAATTTGGGAGACTGGAGAAATGGGAGACACTGTGAGACAGCTGACTCTGGAGATAAACTAATGACTTTAACCATTCTCTCCTATGCTGCTGGCCTCTTTTCCTTTCTCACTAATCAGGTGTCGCATGTCCAGCCACTAAGGGGGGAGAAATGGTAACAATTAAAAAGACTTTCGAGCCTTCCTGATGATTCACTACAGCACGTGGGTTTGATCCCTGGTCAGGGAACTAAAATTCCACATGTCGTACAGTGCAGTCAAAAAAATAAGACTTAAGAATCTCTTCAGTTATCTTAACTCTTTAACTTCACTTTCTCCTGTCTCTTTTGCAAAGTTAATACTCACCCTCCCCACCCCCGCCACTGACTCTTGCTCTAAACAGCCACATACAGCAAATGGCTATTTTATATCCTGACCAACCTAGAACCCTTTCGGCACCATCTGGAACCTTACTTGATCTATAATCAACACCTCTCTTTCCACTCTATACTTTCCCTCCTTTTAACCTATCCATACATAGAGAATAAAATCTCTTTCTGTCTGAAAAGAAATGAAGGCCCAAATGTCCCTTTAACCTTGTTTGCTCCCCACAGGTACTGGCTTATTGTATTTATTTCCAAGCACGTGTTTTCAAATACTCTATGAGGTCCACAATCCCTTCTCCAAACCCTTGGGAGTCAAAAATGCTTCAAAAATCAGAGTTTTAGATTTTAGAAAAAACATTACCGTTTATATCCCTTATTACTTAATGTCCATTGAAGTAGTGATGAATAAGCAAACACAACATTCCTAAAACAAAATCTAGAAAAAATATTAAGATAAATAAAGATGATCAATATAGCTCTATCCAGCTAAAATAAGTTTGAGTTCAGGTCAGATTTTTATCACTAATTATTTAAAAATCTTGTTCTTTTAAAAAAGTTTTGGATTTTAGGTAAGAAATTACAAACTTACACTTTGTTTCCAATTCATCTTTCATGGCAAATTAGACTGAAGAAAAAGCAAGGAAGCAAACTAGCTAACATTTGTGACAGTCTATTATTAATACTTTTCAGGCATTACCTCTCATTAGTTCATTTCATTCCCAAATTTCTTTAAGACAGGTATTATCATCTCAATTCAAGAGATCAAGGAACTGAAGGCACTACAAATTACTTGTCTAAAGACACATAGCTAGCAAATGTCAATCACAATTCACATGCAGGCCTTAATCCAAAGCTGATGGTGTTTCACTCACATCACATGATCTTCAAAGCTAATATTCACACAAACTTCACAAAGCACTTTCACATGGATTTTCTCACCTGACAACAGTTCTGTAAAGCAGTTAACTTTTTTCACGTTACAAAGAAGCTAAGAGAGCCTTTAAGACCACAGTAATAAATGAAACCTTTTAAAGACTCTCTCAAGCACCATTTATCATTTCGTCTTTGCTATTTCACTAAACATGGTATTTTCAATTAATGGAGCAAATTAATAATTTATTCTTCTTTTTCTATATATTTCAGCAGATTGAGAGAGTTTTTCAGGGCAAAGAGCCAGCTCTTACTCATCTTTACTTCCATACCTAGCAGAGTACCTGATACCTACTGGACCTCAAAAAGTGTTGAATGAATGAAGAATGAATTCAAATGAACAGATGAGCAAACAAACATGCTGAGTTTAGGCTGATGGTGGAATACAGAGGTGATATCCAGCAAAAAAGGTCATCAAATAAAGTTTATACATACGTTGGACCATAAAAGCTGAAATTCATTTCAAGAGAAGTTTCTACCTTGGGCAATATGATCAGTAATACCAGTTGGAGTAGATTCATTCAAAGAAGCACTGAATGGAATTGGCTCATAATGAGGAAGCATCTCTTTTTCTAAGTTGTCTGCTGCTGGAGATGTTGCAAAAGATGAATGACCACTCACATTTGAGTCATATTTTGACCTCTGAGAATAGTGCCTATAAAGTAAAATCATATTGTATAAAGAAACATGGGTTACTGTTTATGCCTTATTTAAAGAAGTGTGTTAAGATACAAAAACTTAAGTCATTTTCTAAAGGAATCATATAATTTTAGTATAGTTATTTAAAACAGTAAAATAAAGTCTGTTTCTGCCACAAAAACATGTTCTGATCCACTTATACAACTAAAAAATTGTCACTCTTAATATAGAGAAGAGAAAATATATATCCAATTTTCTATTATTAGGCTTCAGAGATCCTTTTAACGTGTTTAAAGTTCTTAGAAAGAATAAAGTACTTCAGATCAGAAAATATGTCCATTTCTCACATTAACTGGAAAGTTACTTCCACAGGGAGTAGTCCATATAAACACCATTTTGCTGAAGCAAATATAAATAACAGTAGTTCTCACGGGGTTTTCACTTACCATTTGTGACAGGACAATTTATCTACCGAATCTACTTAATTACTTTATTATTTATCTACCTCTCAAGACAGACAGATTCACTTATCTACACTTACACAATTTTCCTACAATTTTAAACAACAGAAGGATTAAAAAGTTGACATCTGTCAAGAGATGAGACTGATAATATTTGGCAATTAAGAAAATAAGAGTATAGTAACCAAACTAGTTTGCCAAATTAAAATCTCTCATTCTCGGACATGAACTCCCAATAGGATGCTACTCTTTATTTTAAACCAAAGTAAACAAATCTTGTTTTACTTTTAAAAATAAAATTAGCTTTAGCTTGCCACAAAATGGCAAGTTTCCAGTGGTCCTTCAGTGAGGCAATGTTTCATGCACTCAACTACGTCAGTATCTAGTGACAGGTTTTTTTGGCTAAAATGAAAGCCTTTATAAAGATCTGAATGGCCTACCCAGTTGGTGAAGATCGTCGTGCCTGTCCTGATCGTAAAGCTTCTCCAAGAGGGGAATTCTCAAGGTTCTTGAACTTCTCCTGGCAAGTTTTCACATAAGAAAGCTTTCCAGCAAAGTATCCCATGATGCAAGCAACTTATTTGTAAAAACAAACAAAAAGTGTAACTCAATGTGCCTCTTTATAGACAAAAATCTTTTCTAAAAGAACACTTCAAAAAAATGTAGTTCTAAATATGTCTCTGGTGTGGAAAAACTGGGATTTCCTGAAATACTGGTAAAAGTATAACACTGAGTTGCACTCAAGAGTTCACAGAAAGATTCAGTGGATATAAATCAAGTAAGTTAAAAATTATGTGAAACAAATCCCTTAAAATAATAAATTATGAAATGCTTCTTAAGCATGGCTACTGTTGTATCTTTCTGATACAGAAGACAGAATACCCTGTCAGATTCATATAAAGCTTCAGACACTCTTTTAGGGCAATTTACTATTTTTTTACTAACCATATCATAAAATGTAAAGAAGCTATACTTATAAATGCTGTTATGTTTATTTACTACTTGCAAATTAGGGTTTTTAAAAAATTACACTTAATTTTCAAATACTCTCTGATTAATCAGACTAGCTAAACTTTCTTTCCTCATAGACTAAACATTGTATCTTTACAAAATTTAAAACTGATGGTTTTAGACATTATAAAACAGAGAAAAATGCCTCTTTCAACTAACCCATGGTTTTGAATGCTAACAATAAAATGCCCAAGTAGTTCATTTAAAACTTAAACACAATGATTTATCAAAACAAATAACCAAATAACTGTTATTAGTAAGACAGAACATTTGTAAAAGCTATTTATTTTACTTAGGCAAAAAAGCTAAGAGAATTAGTATTGTTCATACTTACATATAAGTTTAGGAATGGAACCATATTTGGGATGACTTGAAAGGATTCCTAAAGATAAAACAGTAAATGTTTCTGAGCAACACTGTTACATTTACATAATTAAGATTTTTTTAATTTTTTTATTGCAAGGAGAGGAGTTTATGCTGAGTATAAGAATGGTACAGAAATTATGGTCAAAAATACAAAGAAAATAATTCTGCTTGTCATATACTTCTGCTGGTCTTTTTTCATGTGAGACAAAAGTAGTTTTAAGTTTAGCAGTGCAGTATAAAGCAAGATATATCTATTTCTTAGTGGCTCTGAGCAACCCACAAAGACATAAGGAAAAATTATCTCATTAGAACTGATTCAAATGAATTCTTTTTAATGGCTGAGTAATATTCCATGGTGTATATGTACCACAGCTTCCTCATCCATTTGTCTGCTGATGGGCATCTAGGTTGCTTCCATGTCCTGCCTATTAAAAACAGTGCTTCGATGAACATTGGGGTGCACCTTTCAGAAATTAGTACAGACTACCTCTATATATTACCTGAAAGCATCAGCTCTTTCCAGAATACCAAAAAAGCCTGAAGCTATTCAAAAAAGAATTCAACATCAAGAGAAATATGAAGAAATCAAAAGATTCTAACCTATTAGAATGGATGAATTCAGCAAGATCACTTGATACAAGCTCACTATACAAAAATACACAAAAATGAAAAACACACATCTCTATGTATCAGGAACAAACAAACAAACAAAAAAACAATTTAAAAAGGATATTACTACAGCACCAAAAACCATCAAAGACCCAAAAACAAATCTAATAAAAAATAAGAAAGATTCTGAAAACTACAAAATTTACTGAGGGAAATGAAAGCTAAGTAAATGGAGAAACACACTATGTTCATGAATTCAAAGATTAAATATTATAAAGATGGTAGTTCCTCATAAACATCTATAAATTCAATGCAATCCCAATTAAAAGCAAAGAAAGTTTTTTCCCCAAACTGAAAAGCTTATTCTAATATTCATGTGGGAACACAAAGGGTCAAGAAAAACCGAGGCAGTATTAAAGAACACCACAACAGAGAACTAGCTATCACTAGATATCAAGATCTATGATAAAGCTATACTAATTAAGATAATGTGTTGTAAGTACAAGAACACATAAACCGATCAAATTCAGAAAAATCCAGAAACAGACCCACACATATAGTCACTTGATTTATAACAGAGGCTACAACACTGCGTTGCAGTGAACAAAGACTAGTCTTCAAAATATAGTGTTGGGCCAACCACAAATCCGTACGGGGGAAACATGTACCTCGATCCTACTTCATATAATGTTCAAAAGTAATTCGAGATGACTTGAAAATAAAAGTATGAAAGACAAAACAGGGAATTCCCTAGTATCCCAGTGGTTAAGGCTCTGGGCTTTCACTGCCAAGACCTGAGTTCAATCCCTGCTCAGTGAACTAAGAAGTATGACAATATAAATACAATAAAGCTTACAGAAAAAGCACAAGAGATTCTTCATGTCCTTATACCAGATAAATATCCTGAAGAGACCACAGAAAGCCTTTCTTATAAGATGACATCTGATAAATACACATGAAATCAACTTCATTAACCATGAGGGAGATGCAAATTAAAACTACAATGGAATCACTATCGTGTTCACTAACAACAGCTACAATTCCAGATACAACAGCAGCATGCGTTGGTGATAATGACACCAGCACACTAATAAACTGGTGGTAGGCGTGCAAACTGGTCTAAGCAGTTTGCGGAGTTTAGAAAGTATCCACTAAAACTGTACCTGGACATAATCTATGACCAAGCAAAACGTCTACAAAGAGACATGAAGTTCATGGCAGAACCATTTGTAATGTCAAAACTGGAAACTACACAATCATCCATGTACAAAAGGATGGGCAGACTGCCATGATATATTCACACAGCAAAAAACTATATGCAATGAATATATATATAACTTACAACTACATGCAACAATGTGAATGAATCCAGTGACATGCTGGTAAACAAGCTTTCCAAATAAAAGGCTCTGAGATTTGTAATGTTAGTTGATTTCTGTGGTGTAAATACTTGCCCTATGACCAATTTCAAGCTACCAATGCTTTAAAAATTGGTTTGCCAAGTTCCTAAAATTTTTAACAATTAGCCCTCTGGAGCTGGTACAAGCCAGTTTTGGCATACTGCTGGATGAATCTCACAATGTTGAAAGAAGGTACACAAAAGATTGTATCATGTATATGTAATTTTGCCATTTAATTTTTTATAAAATGAACTAATGAGAAAAGGGAGGACTGTAACAATATCTACATTTACACAAAAACACTGTTTCTTTATTCTGTCACCAAATAGCTATAGACCACTTACAACATACAGGCACTACATTCTAGGAAGTAGGAATGTAACAGTAAAGAGACACTCTCTTTAACCTCACAGAGCTTTCAATCTACAGAGCAAATGAAGACACAGAATATAGTGTAATGGTTGCTATTCATCCACTCAAATACGGACACAGATTAGAGATAACTGCAGGTTCAGTTCCAGACCACTGTAATAAAGCAAATCACATAAATTTACTGATTTCTCACTGGATATTAAAATTCATGTTTACAATATGTTGTAGTCTATTAAACGTGCAATAGTATTATGTCTAAAAAACAATGTACATACCTTAATTAAAAAAAAATACTTTTTGCTTAAAAATGCTAGTCATCATCTGAGCCTTCAGCAAGCTATAATCTTTGTTAACAGTAACACCAAAGAGCACTGATTACAGATCACCATGACAAATATAATGAAAAAGTTTGAATTACTGCAAGAATTACCAAAATATGACACAGAGACACAGACGTGAACAGCTAGTTTCAGAAAAATGATATTGATAAGACTTGCTCTATGCAGCTTGTCACAAATTTTGAATTTGTAAAAAAACAAAAGTATCTGTGAAGCACAATAAAATGAATTATTCTTGTATTTTAGTGTCTACTGCATGCACTATGCCCCCTGTCAGTTGCCAAAAAACAAGTCCATATTCTAAAGGGAAGTAGCAAGAATGGAGACAAATACAATTACTGAGACTAATGCAATATTCTTACCAACAAATGGTGCATGAATTACAATGGGAGTGCAGATGAAAGTAGATAGCTTACAGAAATACTTAAGAGCTGGACTACACGAGAAGGCAGTGGCAGCCCACTCCAGTCCTCTTGCCTGGAAAATCCCATGGACGGAGGAGCCTATCAGGCTACTGTCCATGTGGTCGCAAAGAGTTGGACACGACTGAGAAGCTTTCATTATTATATAATGTTCTTCTCTGTATCCACTAATATTTTTGCTCTGATGTCTATTTTATCTGACATTTATATAGTGAATTCTGTTTATTATTGATTAATGTTTACATGATATACCTTTGCCTATTCTTTTATTTTCAGCCTCCTTATATTGTTATATTCAAAATAACTTGTCTGTAGATTGAAAAAAAAAAAGAGCTGGACTACAGAACGGACATTTGTTGGACAAAGCAGGCAAACAACAGAAGTGAAAAATGTCTGAATGCTGGCTAGAGAGTGATGCCATTCAGACTCAGGGGGAATGCAGGAATTAATTTGTGGAGAAGTGAATTCAGTTTGGGACTGAACTTGAGTTCAATTTGAGAAGCCTGCAGAAGGGCCATTCATGTGGAGATGTGCAGAACATGGTTCTGGAGCAGATTACCTAGGCTCGAGATACCTAGGCTCAAGATAATTATGAGGACTTAGAGCAATAAATGGTCACTAAACTTCCCATCATTGCTGGATAGTACATGGACTAAAAATTCAAAGACAGCATAAAACTCTTAAGAACACAGTGAAGGAAAAAACCTACACTAAGAATGTAAGCACCAAGAGATTGTGGGTTTTTGTCTTCAATGCTACATACCCAAAACAGTATATACTGCCTATCAGACATTCAAAAAACATGAAAAAATGGAGAAGCTGCAATAGGAGAAAAACCAGAAGAATGTGCTATAACTGAAGCCAAGAGATGAGAATATTTTAAGAAGGACTGGTTAAAGTTGTGTAATGGTCATGAAGAAAATCTGTCTATCAAATTCAAGCAACAAAAAGGTTGTACTGGTACGTTTTAGTACATGTCAGATTATATACATAATCTATGACATATACTGCAGTAGGTCAAAAGAAAAAGTAAAGTGCTCATTCATGAAGTCTGGCTTCAAATTCAAGATAACTAGGAGCAGCTGTAAAAGGATAAAAAAGATTTTTTCTTTTTTATGTTCTGAAGTTAGAAATGATCTAAGCATATTTAAAAGGTTTTGATTTAAAAGAATGAATAGAGCAGGAGCAGCTAAGACTATGTAGAGTATGACAAAATGGATAAAAATCATACATGTGGATAAAATCATACACAAAATGTTAGGCATTTTGATTAAATGCAAAATGTTTTGCTGGATTCGAATTCCTTTTCTAAAGTCTCTCAATATTTTTTTTGAGACTGATTTTTCATTAGAATACCTCACCCTCTAAAAACAAGATCCCAATACAATTTCAACAATAATAAAAGCCCTGAATTCTGGGAGATAATTATATGGGTGACATATCACTCAATATTCTTTTCTGTATCTTTTACTCAAAGCATCAAAATCCCAACAACAAAACTCTGACAAAGGTATAAAGATGACGTGACATGCTCAATAGAAAATGTTATTCTACAAATTAGGTTAAGTCAATTTCGACAACTCATCCTTTTTAAAAAATGGATTACTAAATCTCACTGAAAAGCTTCAAGCCCAGTCACTATGAAAAATTATAGAGAAAGATGTTGAAGATGGTTGTTGCTCATGGTATGACTTCTGCAAATGAAATCAGAGGCATAAATCACCATTAATTTCAAGTCAAATAATCACCAAACAGTAACCAGAAGTCCAAGATGATTGTGGCTGCAAAAATAATCTGTCATTTCAGTACTAGATCCTAAGATTATCAGTGGTAACTATGTTAAGAACCATCCTATGAAGATGTGTGTTCAACTACAAAAAGGGAATTTCTGTCTGTGGTTTGGTTATACGTATAATTAGCTACAAGGCATTCCCAAACAGGCAAAAACCCAGCAATGGTGTCATTTAAGGTCTAAGTGAGTAGGTGCAATCTCATCCTCCCAACCTTTACCTCTTGTGCCTTACCTTCAGGCTGTCCAGTCTCCTATTCTATGAAAGCACAAAAGTTCCAAAATTTTGCTTTCTTTGTAATCTTTTCAAAATTACCATTTTTCTTGGTTCCATCTTAGCTATACATTTTCATTCTTCCCTGCAAGACTTTGCCACTCTAGCCATGTCAGTCTCCTGACTGTCCCCCCCAACTGTCATGGTTATCTTATCATTCTGATAACCAGGTCCCTCCTTCCTGAGATTTTCCTACATCTCCTTTAATCTAAATCCTACCCATCTTCAAAACCTTCATTACAGTAGCCCTACAAAGATCTTTCTTCTTTGAAAACCTATAGCTCTTGGGAGTCTCTACCACAAAACGTAGAAGCTTATTTAATATTTAATTATATTCTCTATTTGCTTTGACTTTGTATTCACAAAGTCGTATTGACGACTTTGTATTCACTTTGTTTTCCTTACATGAACCACCAGCTGTTACTAATTTTTCTTTTCTATAACCCACCCCAGCCCATGTCTAGCTCCAATCATTAGTTAAATGACTGACAGAACTCAAATAAAATGGGTAGTATAATAATAGACACTATAATTTCTCCATTGCTCAGTTTTTCCTTAAAATTAATGAGACTAAAATGTCTGCTTCACGCTATAGAAACAACCCTCGTCTATAAAACAACTCTGAAAGACAAGTAAATGCATCTTGATTCATTTGCTTTTTAAAAATTCCTGTCTAGTGAGGTTCTTTGGAAATTCTTGAAATAAAAACAAAATTTTACCTCAAAAATTCCTCCCATTTCCCTTCAAAACTACTTTTCCCTACTAGTTGTGTCAATACTACCAAGTATTTCATACTGTTAATATGAAAAGGCTGTATGTGCCCATCATAGTAACATTTTAGAAGGAGCTTGCGGACTATCCTTTTCTGGAACACCTTCTAATTCCAAGAAGACAGGTCACAAAATAAATGTAATGAATATTTCTACTTCTTATACACTAAATTTAAAGATGTACAGACTGATACATTTAATACCTAACTTAAACACAACTATTCTTTCCAAGTAGCATATTTTACTGTGTAATTCAAAATTTTCATTTATTTTGCTAATAGCTAACAGAATATCTACGTATTTTCTTTTTGCTCTGGTTTTTGAGAGATTGCCGACTTCACTATTTAAACCAACAGAATTTGGACAAGGAAGAACCTCCACTCCCCCAGTATAAGACAAAGCTGGTTTAGGAAGCCAGGTAGAGAATTCAGTCTTTAACCAGTACACAAGATTCAGCAGGAGCCTTAACTCAGACTCTTGATTCAGGAGGCCTGGGATGGGGCCTGTGAATATGCATTTCTAACAAGCTCCTAGGTGATGAGTTATGTGGACGGTCTACCTAAACCAGGTTTATTTCTCTACCTTCCTGTAAACTACCACTGGCTTTTAATTACTTTCTTGCTCTTATAGTGTTAATACACTACAGTGCAGGAGGACATCAAATTCTCAAATTTGAATTTTGAATCTGGATTCATGGCGATATATCCCTTCTAATGTAGAAATTTTTAATGATAATTTTTAATATGATACATTACCATATGTCCCTTATCTAAAGATGAGAAAAACAGAACATAAAAACATGATATCCAAAGTGCTAAACAAATTCAAAGTTTAAAATATTTACCTTTACTAATCAATCCTTGAGTAATCAACATACTTGTTGCAGCCAAAGGTACAGCTGTAGGGGGAAAAAGAATTTGTCAACATCAGTAAAAGGAAAAGATTTTATCTGAGTTCATTAGGATAAATAGATATCAGTAAAACCAGCGCAATTAAGATCCTCAAAAGAGGTTTCTCCACTTTTAAAAGCTGTGCTGTGTATGCTCAGGGAAACATAAAAAGCATTTTAAGTTTAAGAAAATACGACAGATTATTAAACAACATAATTTCAGAACCACCCAAAATTTAGGCTCTAAAAAAGCCATTCACTGGTATCATCAATTAAAACAACACAGTAATAGTGACCAAAAGTTACCTCTGAAGTTGAAGGGGGAAAAAAATTAATGATGAGGTAGGCAAGACATATATTACAAACTGCAAAATTCCACATACCATGTTAAGTGCTTTCAGCACATTATCTCCTTTAATTTTTACCACATCTTTATAAGCTAGATATTACTATTACCCTTTTAAAGATAAGAAAACTGAAGCTTAGAGACATTAAGTAATTTGTTCAAGATCATACAGCCACTTTCAATGGCAGATTCCACATTCCAATGAATTCTGATACCAGATATCAAGTTTTTAAGTTCTGTATTAGAGTGAACCAATACACAAGATACATTACTTGCCCAAAATCATATGGTGATTGGTACAATTAGAAAGCGTATATTTTAAATACCAATGCTTTCTCTTAAACCAGGGAATTCTGTAAAACTAAATGAAAGTATGACTGACATACATATGCCTATTCATGCCGAGTGAAAAATCCCAAACTCTCATCATCTCAAAGGGGCTCATGGTTCATGAAACCAGTCTTCTCTACCCAAACTGCCCAAAAGGATTTTGATGTTAAGTCTGTATCTCTTTTCCAGTTAGGTAGTGTGCAGCAAAGATTTAACACGGCAGCCCCGAGACTGCTTTCCTTACAGAGGCCTGCTTTCAAGGTTGGTCCTTCCCTTGTATCTGGGAGGATGACAGGTAAACTTTACCTGGATAAGTGGCTCACTATGCTCCAACTACTTACACAAATACTGTTCATACCAGTATTTGTATACTTTCCTTCAGGGAGTCTGGAATTTTGTTGCCTGCTAGACTGAGGGGGTCTATGTGACCAGATCCCAATAAAAACTGTGGGTGCTAAGTCTCTGATGTGTTACTACAACATGCAACTGGAGAAATTGAGTACATTCTGTGTGTGTCTCTACTTGGAGAGGACTCTTAGAAGCTCTGTCTCTGAATTTCAGCGAATCCTTAACCTTTGCTGATTTTCCTTTGTATCCCTTCTGCTGGAAACTATTTTACATTGAAATAGCTACACATGACTGCCGCATTGGAGACTGAAGTTCCTGACTAGGGGTTGGGTAATGGTCTGTAGTCACATGGTAAAGGTAAATACTTTAGGTATTGTCCGCCACACAGTCTTTGCCCCAACTACTAATTTTAAAGCAAAAGCACTGAGACAATATATAAACAAACGAACACACCTATGTTCTAATAAAACTTTATGAACGCAAAAATAGGAATTCCAGGTAAATTTCATGTGTAATGAAAAATTCTTTTGGTTTTTTTCAACTATTCAAAAATGCAAAACTCAGCCTTAGCTTATAGCCATACGAAAACAGATTTGGCCCTTGGGCTATGGCTTGCTCAACTATGGTCTAGAATACACATGGGCAATTTAAGAACCAAAGTCAATAAGCATTTGAATTACTAAAATATACATGATTAAAATTCATAATGCTGGAATAGAGCATTAGCTTGGCCATCAGACACAATCTGCAGAAACTCTAAGGCTTAAATCCTTGCTCTATTACTTACTAATCGACTTTACCTCTGCTGGAAAAATGATCTAACGTTAGTTGGTTAAAATGCCTTCATATTATTATTTAAGGTTTTTCAAAGGACACTCCTTTAAAATTACAGCATCAGTACAATTTGCAATCACTTTTCTCCTTCAGCTTGGTTCAAGAATTGCAACTTGAAGCACTAAAGCATCATTAAGGATAAAAGGCAATGAGTTAGTTGGCCATCTCTACAAAGGACAATTTCCCCATTTTGTTTTCCTCTTAGGCCAAGATGGCACAATGTAAAGAACAACAGTCTGGTTAACGAAATTCTAGTACTAGTTCTGCCATTCACCACTGTATCTTTCCATAAATCTCCTAACTTCTTTTCATACTAAAAAGGGTAACCGAGTAGAACTAACGTCTCTTCCCAACTCATTCATTCTGTTACAGAAAAAGAGAATGGAAAATTAAGAGAGACTTCAGAGATTATCTAGTCTTCATTCTAGTCAGAGTAAAGAATAAGTCATTTGCTCAAAGCAACCCAGATGGTTTGTGGTAGAATTTAGATCAAAGCCCAAGTCATCTAACTCCCAGGTCAGTGGTCTTTTCCCACTGCACTTGACTCCCACTAGAGAGTCAACTAAATGTTTCTTTAGGCAAATCAGTAACACTGCTGACCAAATGCTATTTTGTATTACAACCATGATCTCAATCATATTCAACACAAGAACCCCTAAAATTCCTTTAACTCTTCTCTTACGCTAGCAAAATACTTCTCTAAACTCATAATCGTTTTCAATTGAAACTTTCCATTCATCACAACAGCACTGACAGCCATTCAATAAAACAGCTTAACACACAGTAAGTTAAACTGAATTAATCTCCTTAACAATCCCATAAGATAGGTTATTATTATCCCCACTTAACAGAGAAGGAAACTAGGGCATACAGAGATCAGGAACTTCTCCAAAATCTCACAGCTAATGTATGCTGGAGCTGTAACTTGAATCCAGTCAGTCAGGTTTCAGAGTCTATGCGCTCTTATATAAATCATATACTGTTTTATTTGAAAACCAATACAGATGTATGAAACGTCATTCACAAAACCTATAAAAGATGCATGAAACAAATATGAATTCATACACTTTCTCAGCAGTTGCAGAGATTGAGAACTGCTATAATGTATAACACACATTAAACTAACCCTAGCATGTAGATTGTTACATTACCTGCATGTTTGTGCAGATGTAACTTAGTTGTACACCTTCTTGTCCTTCTAACCCATTTTGCACACTGCTAACTAATGTTCCTTTAAATAAATAACATATCACCCCCTTGGCCCAAGAACTCACAGGCATGTGCTAAGTTGCTTCAATCATGTCTGACTCTTTGCAATCCTATGGACTGTAGCCCACCAGGCTCCTCTGTTCATGGGACTCTCCAGGCAAGAATACTGGAGTGGGTCGTCATGTCCTCCTCCAGGGGATCTTCCCAACCCAGAAATTGAACCTGCGTCTCCTAGGTCTCCTGCATTGGCAAGCAGGTTCTTTATCACTAGCACCTCCTGGGAAGCCCCCAAGAAGATATAATAGGTAATAAAGCAAACCTTTAACTCCTTGGTATTATATTTCTTTTCCACCCCCAAGTAAAGACCTCTGCTCCAATCCCTTCAGACTCAAGGCTCCAGACGAGATCCAGCTATTAGAGAATCTGCCTTTGTTCACTATTTTGTCCATTTAAATGCTCCCCCACCATTCTTCATTTACCTGAAGTTCTATTGGTTGTTAAGTCTCATTTGTTTAATAAAGCCTTTTATAGCTAAATCAATTCCAACTAATTTATCTTTTTAATCCTATTGCGGTTATGCATTTAATCTTTCTCAAGGTGTCTCCAGGTAGTTTTGTCTCAAGTACATCATAAAACTACTTCAGGACAAAGACTATCTCATAAAACATATTCCAAGCATAGTACCTTACACACTATATGCACAAATACCAGGCTGACTGATGAAAATATACATCCTTTTTAATTATTTGTCCCCCCTCCTTTTCTAAAATCTCACCTCGTTTTTATTTTTTGCTACAATTACCTTATCTGAAAGGACTGCAGTGACCTCTTGAAGAAGCAACATGGTTCTACTCAAAGGAAAATTATGTTTTTGTGTTGCTTTCCCCATTCTCTGTACTTAAAATCTTCATGTATAAAATCTCTAGTCAGAAATCAAAAGCTGTAGTGTAATAACACATCAATAAAACAGAAACTAACCAATTTTTATCCTACAGCGGTTAAAAATTTAAGGGGTAGAATCATGAAATAGTTTCAGAGGGACAGGACTTCAAGTCCAGACACCACTGCTTACCAGCTGTGGAACACCAGATAGTATCATAACCCATGTATACTCAATAAATGCTATTACTATTGTCAATAAAAATACTTCATGATCTTGAAAAAAGAAATTATTACTTTAAAATGCATACAATTCTGATCATTTAATGATGTATGAAAAGGGCAAATGACTATGGAGTACACTTGAAACTAACATCAAACATCAACTGTATTTCAATTTTAAATGCTTAAATAAAATGTGTACAGCTTTATTTCCTTAACCAACCTCTTTTAGCAATAACCATACCAAAGTAAAAAAGCTGCCCATTCTTTCTATGCAAAGTCATTATAATTTCAAGTATTAAAGATCAAATTTTGTTGATCAGAAAATTTAACTTACATCTGAACCAGAAGCTTTCATCATTGCACTCTGCAAAGACTCTTCTTTCTTCCTCCGTTGGAATGTAATCAGCCCCTATGTCTTTTTACCAAGGAAAATCAGTAAAACGTTAAAACACCCATGAAGAAAAACTAAGTCTAAAAAAGTACCTTAGTCTAAACATTAACATAATTTAAAAAAAAAAATAAAGTAATGGAATAAGTGGATTGTAAACTTTTAACAAACTTTGACTTCAAATATAAAGTTAGTGCCAGTATTCTACCAGCTATGTAGTCAAGATTGGCTTCAAAATGGGCTGGGTCCAGTGCAAGATTAAAATTTGGGACCCTCTGTTCAAATTATTAGGAATTTAACGATGCCAAGAGTAGACCATTAATGGGTCCATGTGCAACGCAAAGGTCACGTAGTCATGAAGCCAGCCCAGTGGCTACGGTTATTCAAGGCAATGAAAATTTCTCTACATAAAAAGTGCTTTTAAATAGAAATAATTTAACTGATAGTTACGGGGAATTGGTCTTGGAACTTCCGCATTTGGCTCTCGAAAATCAGCCCTCCCATTCATCTTTCCTGCATCAAAAACATTTATGAAAAGCATTAGAAATCACTGCAAACTGGCCAAAATAAATCAAGATATAACACAGTAAAATTACCAGTCGATATTGCAACCAGCCAACAAATATTTACAAAACACAACTACATCTAGAGTACTTGAAAAGTTGCCTTAAAAAGTCATAAACCTAGTAACTATTTTAGAATGATTCATTAGGTCCTGTAATTGAAGAATAGATTAATACAATTACTTATCAGCTGGTTATATTAAGATACAAAAGGCTATCGATGTTTAAAAAAGACTTATTTTTTCTTCTGAGGCCGGTTTATTTCACATTATCCTGTGTTAGCATCCTCTCCGAAACATACGCCCAACAATTAAGATAATTCACCAAAATAGAGAAGGAAATCCCAAATCATTTCTGGGCTTACATTTTTAAAAAATGAAATAATCACCAGGAAACATACAATCTCTTCTACAAAGCAGTACTTCAAAAAAAAAAAAAAACTGAAATAACAAGGACGTCATTTTGTTCTCCCTGTGGTGGGAAGCTAACAGCACATTCTGTATCCTCTTTCCTCCCTCCCCAAATGGAGACCTAGAAAAATAAACGAGATACACAAAATGCATAGCATTTCAAGAACATACACTTTATTATTATTTTTAACCCATGCTTCCGGATTTAAGAGATCAGCAGATTAGACAGCTACGTACTGTACACAATGTTCACATAGGATTCTTTATTCTCATCTTAAAGACAATTTAAATGAAAACGGGAAACTTCACACGCGAAGAGGAGAGCAATTGGGATCCTTCCATAATTCACTTATTCAGTAAATTGTCACTGAGGGCCTTCTATTAATTCATGCCAACCTCCTGACTAGGGAAAGAGTAAATCAATGCATGGATGGATGGAGTCTTTAATAAGCTACGTACATCCTAAAACAACCGCAAAAGAAAAAAACCGAAATCCTCTTCTCACAACAGCATCCTACCTAGAAAGAGATTGTCAGGTTTGACAAAACCCCTTTTCACAAAATCATTTTAATCTTTTGCTCCCAAAGAATAGAACCGCCACCGTCGATTCCTGCACCCCATCCCCCACCCACTGCGTCTCCCACCTCCAACACCTACACACATCCGTCACCACCGATTTCTCCCATGCACGCCCCCAGACACGCTCCCTCACCAGCCCTGGTCACCGGCACCCAGGAGCCCGAGGCCCAAAGCGCGATCGGCCCACCCTCGCAGGCGGGAAAAATGGCGGAAGGCGCAGGGGAGCGGCCAGCCGCACAGAAATGGGTGAGTGGGTAGGTGGGGGGCGGAACAGGGCTTTCTGCGTCATTTCACCCACCTCCCGACGACGGCGGCGGCGGGCGGTGGCGCGGCGAGCCCGATCGACCAGGGACAGAAGGCCCGAGGGGACTCGAGTGTGGTGGAGGGGGGAGGGGAAGGCGGGAGGCGCGCGGGACCGCAGCGGGGTTGGGGGTGGGGAGCGGTCAACAACACGACCGCCAAGAAGTCACCCAGATACGGACTCAAGATGACCGCGACCCGGAAGCAGTGGTGACCTACGGAAGGAAATGACGCCAAGACCTCTCTGCGGAGTCTGAAGGCGAGCAGCCTCAGAAAGAAGGTGAACTCCTGCGTCTGTCTGCGCAGTCCGTCTTCGCTTGTTCCTGCAGCGTTCCCCTCCACCGCCGGCCGCGGTGCTCAAGAGCTGCACTGCGGCTGCGCGTCCCACCACTGCGGACCCGACCCCGCCCACCTCCCTGCACCGCGCGGGAGGAGGCTAAGGTTTAGGCTGCTGTGACGCACCGCTGTAATCGTCCAGTGACTGGCCAGCAGGAACGTTCTGGAAGCCCCTTTTATTCCCCTGTTGAGAGTTGGCTATTTAGCTTTCTCTGCTTTTAGGCTTTACGTAGTGCATTTCTTCCTTTGGGCCTCTAGGCTAAGTAGTAGCAAATAACTATTAAACATGTGCACTTGGCTGATACTTTTGAGCCTAACTTCTGACTAGTTCTAGGAACCTCAGGCAAGGTACATTCCAGCTCTCTCTCTGAACCTCAGGTTTTTCTCTGCTAAAAAATGGAAATACGACCTACCTCATAGGGTTGTTGGGTTTAAAACGACACACTTCAACGAGTCGTCCAAGTTTTCTAGTAATGGAAGTTGGAGGGCACGACTCGTGACTTTTCAACCACCATTCATTTATTTCTTAACTATACAAATATTCGTTGAGAGCCAGCTACTGAAAGTTTTTGGTGATTAAGCAGTGAACAGTCAGCCCTCTCCGTTTAACTCCTGAAAACCTCTCAGATAGCTTTTATTTCTTACCGAGCCCAACTGTGACTATCCTCATTCCATCTTTTTTCGCTGCCTCCATTTTATTCTCCCACAGACATATTTGGGAGACAGTCTGTGGTGATCCATCTAAAATTCAATCCTGTGGTTCATTCCGTAGAGAATCATGCACAGAATATCGGGCCCTTTCATGCCTTGTACTCTATACTCTTGAGCCTCGCTTCTATTTTAGTGTTCACTGTAGGAAACTCCTTTGCACTCACAGTTCCCTGTATGCTTTGCCCCTGACACAGACAGCCTTCCTGCCTTGTCAACACTATTGATAGTTCAAAATTCTGCTTCTACATTACCTCCTTTGCAAAGACTTCCCTGAAATACACCCTAAGGATTAATAACTCCTTCGTACCTCTTTGTGCAAAATTCTATCACTATAATGTTGTTCTGCCACTGTTATCTTTTTGCTCATTTCTGTCTCTATTGCAGAGCTTCTCTCAGGCTGAGAACTTGGCTTATAAATCATTATAGTCCCTAATAGATCCTTAATGTCATCAGTATTAATAATTAATATTCATTTTGCTCCTAGAACATGGTAGTCTGGTTCTGGGTTCGGGACCTTTGCAATCATCATTCCTTCTTCTACAACCACTGTTACTTTTTCAATAACTTTCTTCCTCCAGATGATCACATGACTTCTTGTTTGTGGTTGCCCTTGATGTCATCATATCAAAGAAACCTTCCCTGATCACACAATTAATATAGCTCCCCAATCAGTCTCCATGTTACTCCATTTATTATTTTCATACCATTCATCATGACCTAAACAATTATTTGTCTATTCTCTCCTCCACAACCCCCCACCACCCCCCACTGCCGCCCCCTCCCAGCCCCCCTCTACAGCACCTCACTAGAATGAAAGATCCGTAATGGTAGGAGCCTGTCTGGCATCAAAAATGATTAGCACATAGTGTGAAATCAATAAGTGTTTCTTAAGTGAATTTGAGTACATTTTTATAAAAGAAGAATCAAAAATAGGAAAATAAGAAGACACAGGGAGTAAGCTTAACGCTAAAATGTAATCTGTTCTTTGCTTTCTGAATAAACTGTAAGAGAACATAATTTTACCATATTCTTTATATTACTAAGCCAGGCCTAATGCTTGGCACATGATAGATATTGATGAGTGTATTTTCTGTTGCCCACATATTAATCAGCAATCAAGTTAACTGAAAACTTGGATTTCTATTGAAGAAAGGGTATGGTACTCTTTCTGTGGGAAAAAATAACATTCTAAACATTCAAGGTAAATTGGCGTTTTCTCTTCTGGCATTTAGAGGTTAATGAGTCCATTGGTAATGCAACAATTAAAGAATTTAAACATAGATTGGGTAGGTGCCAAAGGCTTACTGAAAGTTGATTCACCTTTTGATTTCTCTCTCTTTTTTAAAATTACTGAAACATAGTTGATTTACAGTACTATGCCAGTTTCAGTGTACAGCAAAGTGACTCATATAGTTACATATACGATTTTTTTTCAGATTATTTTCCATTATAGTATCGACTGAAAAAAAAATGTACAACGTAAAAGCTGAGAAATGTATTTTAGTCGGTGGGCCTGCTAAGGACATCAAGCCCAGGAGACAGCCTCTCAGATAGGTGTGAGAGACTGCTCCAAAAAGTTCAGGGAGGAGGCAGTATATACAATATAGGAGTTTTGCAACAAAAACCAGGTAGTCAGAACATCAAAAGATTCAGTTCAGTTCAGTTCAGTCGCTCAGTTGTGTCTGACTCTTTGCGACCCCATGAATTGCAGCATGCCAGGCCTCCCTGTCCATCACCAACTCCCAGAGTTTACTCAAACTCATGTCCATCGAGTCGGTGATGCCATCCAGCCATCTTATCCTCTGTCGTCCCCTTCTCCTCCTGCCCCCAATCCCTCCCAGCATCAGGCCACCATGAGGTGGCCAAAGTATTGGAGTTTCAGCTTCAGATCAGTCCATCCAATGAACAGCCAGGACTGATTTCCTTTCGGATGGACTGGTTGGATCCCCTTGTAGTCCAAGGGACTCTCAAGAGTCTTCTCCAACACCACAGTTCAAAAGCATCAATTCTTTGGTGCTCAGCTTTCTTTATAGTCCACCTCTCACATCCATACATGACTAGTGGAAAAACCATAGCCTTGACTAGACGGACCTTTGTTGGCAAAGTAATATCTCTGCTTTTTAATATGCTGTCTAGGTTGGTCATAATTTTCATTCCAAGGAACAAGTGTCTTTTAATTTCATGGCTGCAGTCATCATCTGCAGTGATTTTGGAGCCCGAAAAAATAAAGTCAGACGCTGTTTCCGCTGTTTCTCCATCTATTTGCCATGAAGTGATGGGACCAGATGCCATGATCCTAGTTTTCTGAATGTTGAGCTTTAAGCCAACTTTTTCACTCTCCTCTTTCACTTTCATCAAGAGGCTCTTTAGTTCTTCTTCACTTTCTGCCATAAGGGTGGTGGTGTCTGCATATCTGAGATTATTGATATTTTTCCCGGCAATCTTGATTCCAGCTTGTGCTTCATCCAGCCCAGCATTTCTCATGATGTACTCTGTGTATAAGTTAAATAAGCAGTGTGACAAATTACAACCTTGATGTACTCCTTTTCGTATTTGGAACCAGTCTGTTGTTCCATGTCCAGTTCTAACTGTTGCTTCCTGACCTGCAT